TACTTGTACTGATTTCACTGTTAGTTCAATCATTCCTGTTCGTTCATTTCAACACTTCGACGGGTCCCTGCCATGCCCAACAAACGGCACACAGTATGAGAAGCAGCAGTACACCTATCAATCGATGATGGCGTACACGATACTACCGAGGAATATCACCCCGACTCAACAGCAGAACATAAGAACTTACCGAGGTTATGGCAACTCCGCGGAGCTCGCGTACAATCACTTGAAGAACCTGTATCAAGCAACAGACATCGTAAACCAAAGTTGGTTAATGGCACAGCTGACAACAATCGAAATGAAACCAGGCGAGAAGGGAATGGCATATATCAGTCGCTGCCGCGAGCTGCGCGACAAGCTTCTTTGATGTGGAGGATCGATTTCAGAAGACGCCTTCGTCACGGTTGTCATCGGCGGTCTTGGTCCTCACTGGCGCTCTACTCGCGCCATACTACGAGCACACGGGAGAATCTCCGAAGCAGCACTCTGCGCCGAAATCCATGCTGAGCAGCAAGACATGGACATGCAAGAAGAACGACACAAGAGAAAGGTATCAGTACCCGAATTCGCGTTTCACACTCAACGACGCCACAACAACAACAATAGTTGACCGAAAATCGTATCTCCGTTCTGCCACCTCTGCAAGACTTCAGGGCATCCTCGTACGCACTGCCCGAATCGACAACAGTCAACGTCGCCACAACGCCAACTTCGCCCTTCAAGCAGTCAAGTCGCCTCAACGCAAGAAAATCCGATAACTTCGGTACAAGTCTCAACAACATCGACGGGACAACCTGCGAAAGAAACAAGAAACATCATCAGCTGCATGGCAAGGCTGAGCGACTCCTGCGTAACTGAGTCACCACCATATTACTCACCAGAAGAACAACTCGACAACAGCACGCCTCGCCGCGAGTCACTTCAACCGAACCCGACGTACGCCGCCATCGCTCAAAGCGAACCGTCCGGGAAAGACACATGGTTCTTGGACAGTTGCTGCGGACGGCACATGTGCTCCTCGGGACGCTTCGTTCAACGCGAGCACCGACTTCAACGAGAGGTCGTCATCACAGTTGCCAATAACCAGAACCTGCGCACACGACGACAAGGGATTGTGCAACTTCAGTCACGAGAAAAAAATGTTATACTACAGATGTCAAAAGTACTAATCGCGGAGGGACTCGGCTACAACTTACTGAGCGTCAGTCAGCTGATGGCGAAAGGCATACATCTCGAAGCAGACAACACCACCCAAGAATTCAAGTTTTATCACGGGAGAGGAGGTCTCTACATCGGCAAGGCGGTCCTCAAGAACAACGTCTTCGTCCTCGATTTTGTCTCTGACCTTGGCACCGCCGACAGCGACGCCATCGTTAACTTCACCGACTGGACACATCCTCCAGACCTTGATCCAGACTTCAGTCCGGAAGGCTTTTGGTATTCACATACCATTTCTGAAGCAGAACGAACACGCGCGTTAGTAACAATACAACATTCGGCAGCAGCAGAGACAACATTGGCAGCAGCAGAGACAACATCGGCACCAGCAGAGACATCATCGGCAGCAGCAGAGACATCATCGGCAGTAGCAGGAACAACGACACCAGTCCTCGTTGACGAAACACCACCAACACCAGCACAACGGCTCCACCCAGCACCACGAGAAGTTCATCGTAGCGCAAACTTCACCACCAGCTTCTATTCCAACTCCGATATGTACCGACGATCACCCGGACATCGCGCCGACAAAAGCACCTGGCACGCAAGGATGTGACACCCAAGCAACACTGTGTTAAACAACACGATAAGAGCAGGAGTCCTTGACAAGGACTCGTTACTACTACTCGACGGCAGAGAACTCCAACGGGCATGAGGAACATGCCTTACCTGCCCCGAAGCCGACTTACCACATCGGCCGTTCGCCCCTCGTCACAACCCGAGCGCACCCGCGTACGCACCACTCGAAAAGGTGTATAGCGACATCCTGTACAATCGGGAACCAGGACAAGTAATCTACAACTACACAATCACCTTCATCGACGCCGCCACCCGTTACGTCTGGCACCTAAACCTACCCAGCCGTGACATGGTCCTTGAAGCATTCGTTGCTTGGCTACCAGTAGCAGAGAGAGAGTCGGGCGTAAAGCTGAAAAGCTTCCAGTCAGACGGAGGAGGAGAATACACCTCTCAGCGATTCAAGCAGTACCTGGCGGAAAGGGGGATCAAGCAGCTCCTCTCTCTTCCCTACGCCCATCAGTAGCAAGGTGTAGCAGAAAGAATGAACTGGACTCTGCAGAACAGCATGCGCAAACTGTTACGTGGCATGCGGCTACCCAACCACCAGTGGCCTGCAGCAATGGACCACGCTGTCATGCTGCACAACTTGCTGTCGTCATCGTCACTTCCGAACAATGCATCACCGCATCTGATGTGGACAGGGAAACAGGGCAGCACAGAAATGTTACGAGTGTTCGGATGCATGGTACAGTATCGACCCCCAGCAGCACGAGCGGGCCGATTTTCACAACGCGCACAATGGGGACTACACCTCGGCATCGAAAAGAATTACAACGCGTGGAAAATCTTCGACGTCCACTCCAAGGAAACAGTAGCAGCACGTGACGTCATTTTCTACGAACGACTCACGCTCCAGACGTACCTTGCCAACCTGCAAGAGGACCAAGATCCCACATATGGTTTTCGTGGTGACCGAGCCTTCGCCTCCGCAGAAGACGAAGCTGACTGGGACGAGCAGAATGTGGACAACGCGTCAGAAGAAGCCGGACCTCTCCCGTTCTGCTCCGTCGACGTTCCCATGGACGAAGACAACCCTCGCGAAAGTGTCAACGCCGAAACCTTCTACTACTTTGCCGACAACGGTTACGTAACACCTGCGACAGTCAACACCAACAAAGCAGAACGAGTAGGACCGAATTTCATACCTGATCCAGAATCGGGAGATGAAGCAGCTTATCCCGAGGATGCAACTCTTCCCCGCCACTCACAGACTGGACTGCAGATACTCGGCCTCGTCACCGCAGTCCACGGCAACACCCTTCCGAAGGAGCCTGCGACGGTTCAGCAGGCTCTGGGGGGGGAACACAGGGAAAAATGGCGTGAAGCCATGGACAGAGAGTTAAAAGCTGTCGGAACGGAACGGAACATCGCTGGAGGAACGGAACACCTGGAAAGTTGTCCCCATCAACGTGGCAAGGAACAAGACCATTCTCACCGGGAAATGGGTCTTCCGCGTTAAAACAAAAGCAGACGGCACAATTGAGAAGTTCAAAGCACGCTGGGTTGTGCGTGGATTCGATCAGGAGCACGGACGGGACTTCACCGAGACATTCACCCTGGTTAGCCGACATACCTCACTTCGAATCCTCCTCGCGATCGCCGCGATGAAGAAAAGGAAGCTACGGCAAATCGATGTCGCCAACGCGTTCCTCTACGCACCTGTCGACGCAGAGATCTTCGTGGAACTACCGCACGGTACTAACGGAGAGCCCAACCAGGTTTGCCAGCTGCTGAAATCGCTCTACGGAATCAAACAAGCCCCACGGCTATGGCAACAGTACCTACACGCTCGCCTCATTCGCATCGGATTCCGCCAACTACCTCACGACCAAGGAATGTACCGACTCATGAAGGGTACCAACTACATCCTGCTGATCGTCTACGTAGACGACCTACTCTACATCGGCTCCACTGACGACATCACCACCTGGTTCGAAGGGGAGTTACAGAGGGACCTCACACTCACGGTCTCCTCTACCGTCACACAGTACCTCGGCTTGAACATTCGAGAGGAAGAAGATGCGATCTACCTCAACGCCACTAAGTACGCCGACACCATCGCCAAACGCTTCACGCTCACGCCTACCACCATCTCTACGCCCTACCGCTACGCGATAGGAAACCACGAGGAAGGATCCACTCTACTCAAATCTGCCGGGATACGCGACTACCAGAGAAAGCTAGGATGCCTTCTCTTCGCAGCCGTTACCTGCCGCCCCGACTGTCAGAACATTATAGCTTATACATTTGTGTAGGCTGTAGTGGGGTAGCCCATAAGGGGTACAACCCAATTAGGGTTAGTACTTGTACCCAACTGTTTCATAGTTCATTCATTCCATTCTCACTTCTCGTCATGGTATCGAGCAGGTTCCCGAGTGGGAATACTGCCTAGGGCCCACCACGAACTTTTTTTTTCCTGCCCGGAGCGCGCTTAGCTCCTAACCCGAGTAGCACCTCGAGCCGCCTTAGTGGCCCCTATTGGCCGCCCTTACTGCCCCTCGAGCCGCCCTCTACGGCCTCGCTTAGGCCGCTACGGCCCCGCTACGGCCCCGTCCGCCCCGCTACGGCCCCGCTACGGCCCCGCTACGGCCCCGCTACGGCCCCGTCGGCCCCGCTTAGGCCCCGCTACGGCCCCGCTACGGCCCCGTTACGGCCCCGCTTAGGCCCCGCTACGGCCCCACTACGGCCCCGCTACGGCCCCGCTTAGGCCCCGCTACGGCCCCGCTACGGCCCCGCTACGGCCCCGCTTAGGCCCCGCTACGGCCCCGTCGGCCCCGCTTAGGCCCCGCTACGGCCCCGCTACGGCCCCGCTACGGCCCCGTCGGCCCCGTCGGCCCCGCTTAGGCCCCGCTACGGCCTCGTCGGCCCCGCTTAGGCCCCACTACAGCCCCGCTACGGCCCCGCTACGGCCCCGTCGGCCCCGTCGGCCCCGCTTAGGCCCCGCTTAGGCCCCGTCGGCCCCGTCGCGGCCCCGCTCAGGCCTCGCTTCGGCCCTGTCGGCCCCGCTTAGGCCCCGCTGCCGCCCAGCACCGTGCAGCCGAGCCGCCCAGCAGCCGAGCCGCCTCGCAGCCGAGCCGCCCAGCAGCCGAGCCGCCCTGCAGCCGAGCCGCCCGACAGTCGAGCCGCCGAGCAGCCCGATCGCTCCACCTACCTGGTAAGAGCACAACCTCTGGCACTGCACTGCCCTGCCTACTGCTGTTATGGCTTCCCCTAGCGTTCTCACCTTTGACGCTGAGGGTCGGGCAGTGGACTTTGAGGTCTGGGTAGATGATCTGCAGCTTTTCCTGCAGTGCGATAGGGCAGACGGCCTCTCCCTGTTTGACCTCACTTCTGGTGCCTCCCCTACCCCTGCTGCTGATGCTGACGCCACTGTTCGCTCACAGTGGGCCACACGTGACGCTGCTGCTCGCCTTGCTGTGCGCCGCCACTTACCGACCACTGAGCGTGCACACTTTAGCCAGTACAAGAGTGCTCAGACCTTGTACGACGCTGTAGTTGCACGCTACTCTTTCCCTGCCACTGCTGCACTGAGCCGCCTCATGCTACCGTACCTCTTCCCTGACCTTGCTGCCTTTCCCACTGTCGCTGACCTCATTACGCACCTCCGCACTAGTGACACTCGCTACCGCGCTGCGCTTCCTGCTGAGTTCTGCGCCAAGAACCCCCCCCCCCATGTACATCACCCTCTACTACATAGTCACCCGTCTCCCTGACTCTCTCCGTGTAGTGAGGGACCACTTCCTCTCAGTTTGCCCCACCACTCTCACCGTTGACCTCCTCGAGAAGGCCCTCCTAGCGATAGAGAAGAGCATAGTCGCTGTAGGAGCCTCTCGTGGTGACTCTCGCACCCCCGTCTTTGAGGGGTGTTCTCCCTCCCCCCTCTTGCCCTCTGTTGCCTCTGCTGCTGCGGCCGACCTCGTTGGTTTCGAGTCGGTCGGCGCTGCGTCTGCCCCGAGCGGGAGACGCCCCACCGGCAAGGGCAAGGGGGGCAAGGGCACTGGAGGGGGTGGAGGGGGCGGTGGAGGTGGTGGTGGAGGCGGTGGAGGGAGTGGGGGTGGTGGTGGGAGTGGTGCTGGGGGTGGCGGCGGCGGCGGCAGCAGTGGAGGCGGCGGAGGCGGTGGAGGTGGCGGAGGGAGCGGAGGCGGCGGAGATAGTGGAGGAGGCAGAGGTGGAGGAGGCGGCGGAGGCGGCGGAGGCGGCGGCGGCGGCGGAGGCGGTGGTGGTGGAGCGAGTCGCGACTCTGCGCCGAGGAGTGGCGCCGGTGGTGGTCACCGCCAGCAGCAGCAGCGGAGTGGTGTGACCCTGTCCCCTCAGCAGCTTCGTGAGTGGTACACTGCACGCCAGCGCGGTGGGGGTACTGGTCCCTGCATCTTACGTTCTCCGTACCGGCGACCGCATTGGTGAGCAGTGCGGAGGTACGCACTCCACCCAGCGCTGCTTTGGTCGCCTGACGGACGCGTGGCGTCGCCAGTTCCCTGAGGCGTCAGAGATCCCTCGCTGGGGAGATCTCGCTAAGGCCGGGGTTGCTATCTTTGATCTTGACTTTGATGCTATTCTTGCTGCCATGTATGCTGTTGCTGATAGTGTTGAGGGTGCCTGTTACCTGTGTGTACCGCCTGACCCGGGCATTGAGGCTGCTGCGGTAGGTGCTGGTGAGACTGCTGCTCTAGGTGCTAGTGCGTCTGCTGCCCCAGGTGCAAGTGCGTCTGCCGCCCCAGGTGTTGGTGAGTCTGCTCTCTCAGGTACTACGTCGGCTCAGGCCTTCCACACCTTCACCCTGGACTCGGGTGCGTCCCGCTCCTTCTTTCGAGACCGCACCACTCTTACGCCGCTTAGTCGGCCGGTTGCAGTCTCCCTGGCAGACCCCTCTGGGGGTCCTGTCCTTGCTAGCTTCTCCACTATCCTTCCGTGCCCTGCAGCCCCCTCTGGCACCCTGTCAGGTCTCTACCTCCCCTCGTTCTCTACGAACTTGGTGAGTGGAGCGGACCTACAGGATCGAGGGGTTGACCAGTTCACTCCTGCGAGTCAGCGAGTGACCCACTGCAGGTGCGCTCGGACAGGCCGACACTTGGCCACGTTCACCCGTCGGCCAGGGTCGAGCCTGTACACCCTTACTGCTGAGTCTCCTCCTACTGCTAATCTGCCCAGGTAGCTGCGTCGAGTCAGGTGTTTGCTGCGGCGTCCAGGTCTGGTCCTGAGTCTGCCCCCTGCTCGTGTCGTCTCATGTCCCACCAGACTCTCCTTTGGCACCACCGCCTTGGTCACCCCTCCTTGCCTCGTCTCCGAGGCATGGCCTCCCGTGTCCTTGTCTCTGGTCTTCCTCGGTCTCTCCCTCCCCTTCCTCCGGGGCCTGGCCCTACCTGCGTCCCCTGCGTCGAGGGGCGACAGCGCGCTGCCCCTCACTCCTCCGAGTTTCCTCCGACAGAGGCTCCGCTGCAGACTCTACACATGGATGTGTTGGGCCCAGCCCGCGTCATTGGGCAGGGGAGAGAGCGGTACTTTCTGCTGGTCGTTGACGACTACTCGCGTTACACCACAGTCTTCCCCTTGCGCAGCAAGGGTGACGTCAGTGAGGTGTTGATCGACTGGATCCGCGCAGCTCGTCTCCAGCTCAGAGAGAGTTCCGGCTCGGACTTTCCTGTTCTGCGTCTGCACTCGGACAGAGGAGGGGAGTTTTCCTCTGCCCGTCTGGGAGCCTTCTGTCGGGCACAGGGCATCCGCCAGACCTTCACGCTTCCGGCCTCTCCACAGCAAAATGGGATTGCTGAGCGCCGCATTGGCATGGTCATGGACGTCGCGCGTACGTCCATGATGCATGCGGCTGCCCCCCATTTTCTGTGGCCGTTTGCGGTTCAGTACGCCGCGCATCAGCTCAACCTTCAGCCCCGGGTCTCCTTCCAAGAGACCTCCCCCGCCTTGCGGTGGACAGGGAAGGTTGGCGATGCGTCTGCGTTTTGGGTCTGGGGATCTCGGGCGTTTGTCCGCGACTTGTCTGCGGACAAGCTGTCCCCCCGTGCTGTTCCTTGCGTCTTCCTTGGCTTCCCCCCTGACGCGCCTGTCTAGCAGTTTTACCACCCCACCACGCGCCGTGTTCTGTCCTCCCAGGACGTCACCTTTGACGAGTCGGTGCCTTACTATCGTCTCTTCCCCTACCGCACTGCGCCCCTACCCCCGCCGCCGCTCTTCCTTGCGCCAGGTACTACCCAGGTAGACCCCCTCCCTCCACAGGGTCCTGCCCCTTCAGGTGTGTCCCATGTAGACGCAGTCGAGCCTGTCGAGGTAGCTGTTGACTCTGGTGCTGCTAGAGGTGCTGAGCCTGCGGGTGCCGGGTCTGCGGGTGCCGGGTCTAGGGGTGCTGAGTCTGGGGGTGTTGAGACTGGTGGTGCTGAGCCTGGGGGTGCTGAGCCTGGGGGTGCGGAGCCTGGGGGTGCTGGGTCTGCTCGTGTGGCCGCCGGCGGTACTTCGTCGAGGCGGGAGCCGCTCTCTCCACAGGAGCTGCGCGTGTGGTTCGCCCGCCGCTTGAGACGTGCTGCTGAGTCTGGGGGTACTGCTGGAGCTGCTGGTGGTGTTGGCGCTGGTGTTTCTACTGGTGCTGGTGCGTCTGGGGGTGCTGTTGAGGCAGCTGGTGCTGACGGTCCTACTGAAGTTGGTGCTGCTGGAGCTGGAGCTGCTGGGGGTGTTGGCGCTGGTGTTTCTACTGGTGCTGGTGCGTCTGGGGGTGTTGCTGAGGCAGCTGGTGCTGACGGTCCTACTGGAGTTGGTGCTGCTGGAGCTGGAGCTGCTGGGGGTGTTGGGGCTGACGGTGCTGCTAGCAGTGGTGCTTCTAAGGGTACTGGAGTTGGCGCTGTTAGAGCTGGAGGTTCTACGGGCGCTAGTGCTGCCGCTGGGGGTACTGGTGCCGTACTTGCAGGTTCTGGAGGGGCTGAGCGGCCGAGGCTGTACTTCATTCCGCCCTGGAGCAGGTTCTTGGTCTCCCGCCCTCTACAGTTCCTGCTCCTCCCCTAGAGTGTCCACCGCCTGTCCAGTCGCAGTCACGGTTACCGCATGCCTTCCCTCTATCTGTTCCTTCTCCCTACATTGGTCCTACTGGAGGTCTTGCTGAGGGTCGTGAGCCTGCGTCTCGTCCCGCGTCACCTGTTCGTGCTGCTCGCACTAGTGGTGGTACTGCACGTCCGCGTCCTCCTGCGGTCCCCGGCACACACCAGATGGCACTGCGTCCTTCCACTGCTCCTCTGCGTGTCCTGTTGCCGTCTCCTCCAGAGTCCTCTCTTCCTTCTCTTGCTGACTTGGAGTCTGACTCCCTTCGTGCTGCTAGTCCTTCGGTCACGCGCCTTCTTGCTACTGTCATCACTGACCCTTCCTTTGAGTCTGCTGCTGCGTCGGCTCTAGTTGCTGAGCTTGTCGACTTCGCTGCTCGCTGTCGTCTAGACTACGCAGCCAATCTTGTTGCTGAGTCTGAGTCTGTGTGTCCTCCGTCCGTCGGGGGTGAGTGTGCTCTTAGCACGGACGTCCTTGAGGACAGGCAGGAGGAGTTCCAGTGCTTTACGGCTGCTTTGCCCCATCTCGTGTCCACGCTGATTGCCCCTGAGGGAGACCCGGATGCACCAGACATCCCTACTCCTCGATCGTACGCTGAGGCGATCGAGGGTCCCTACTCCTCTCAGTGGCAGTCGGCCATGGACGCAGAGATGGCTTCCTGGAAGTCCACAAGCACCTACGTCGACGAGGCTCCCCCACCTGGGGCGAACATCGTCAGTGGGATGTGGATCTTCAGGGTGAAGCGGCCGTCGGGCTCTCCGCCTGTCTTCAAGGCGCGTTACGTGGCTCGAGGCTTCAGTCAGCGGCAGGGAGTTGACTACTTTCAGACCTTCTCTCCCACCCCGAAGATGACCACTCTTCGGGTGCTGCTGCACATAGCCGCTCACCGCGACTTCGAGCTTCACTCTCTTGACTTCAGCACTGCTTTCCTACAGGGCAGCCTGCACGAGGAGATCTGGCTGCGCCGCCCACGTGGCTTTAGTGGGTCGTTTCCTCCTGGCACCCAGTGGAGCCTCCGGCGGCCAGTCTACGGTCTCCGCCAGGCGCCCCGTGAGTGGCACGACACACTGAGGACTACACTTGCGGCTCTTGGGTTTGCTCCTTCTACAGCCGACCCGTCGCTGTTTCTACGCACCGACACCTCTTTGCCGCCGTTCTACATCCTCGTGTACGTCGACGACCTGGTCTTTGCCACTGCTGACACTGCTGGACTCGCCCACGTGAAGTCCGAGCTGCAGAAGAGACACACGTGCACAGACCTGAGTAAACTACGCAGCTACCTTGGCTTGCAGATCACCCGGGACAGAGCACAGCGCACCATTACCCTGACTCAGTCACACATGGTGCAGCAGGTCCTTCAGCGCTTCGGCTTCACGTACTCCTCGCCTCAGGCCACTCCTCTGTCTACTCGCCACTCGCTCTCAGGTCTGCCTTCGGATGAGTCCGTAGAGTCGAGTGGCCCGTACCCAGAGCTTGTTGGCTGCCTCATGTACCTGATGACCTGCACACGACACCGACCTCTCATACTCCGCAAGCCAGCTCGCCACTCATCTCAAAAGGCCTGAAGCAAAACACATGGCCGAACTCGACCGCGCTCTACACTTTCTCGTCAGTACGCCAACGATCGGCCTAACATATCACAAGAACGCGACCACGCCACCTAAGCTAATCGGTTACGTCGACGCAGATCACGCGGGCGACTCTGACAACAGACGATCACGCACCGGCTACATCTATCGCTTCGAACCTATCGGGCCTATCTCCTGGCAATCGAGCAAGCAGGAACTAATTGCTCTCTCGTCAGCTGAAGCAGAATATATTGCACTCTGCTCAGCCACCAAGGAAGGACTCTATCTTCGCGAGCTGCTGGAAGAAGCGAAGTTAGCCGAGTTACCCAACTTTACCATGTTTTGCGACAACCAGTCGGCAATTCGCATCGCCAACAAGAACGGTTTTGCGAACAGGACGAAACACATCGCCCTGCGATACTTCTTCGTGAAGGACGAGATCGAGAAGGGAAGGCTCGAGCTGTCATACTGCCCCACGCCCGAAATGGCAGCTGACTATCTGACCTAGAAGCTCGGAAAGCAGAAATTCGAATATTGCATGCTGCTGACTAGAGAGAGCCACGTCAGCGACACTCCAGAAGCGAAGGGGAGTGTTGGAAACAATCGGTCCTAAGCGCCTCTGTCGTGTCGAAACACTAAAAGACACAAGTGAAGCAACGCATATCGAGGCACCAGCGAGTCAACCCTCGGATGTTGAAGCAACAGCTGGAGGTTGCTAGAAAGGCATAGTGCCAGCGTAGCGGAAACGTGTTTGTAGAAAAGGACAAGATAGAAATCTTGCATTGATCATTGAAAAGTAAAAGGATGACACAATGAGTACTCAATGATGTGACACAGCAGGGTATATATGCATCCAGCAACCCCTCCAGAATGACCCATTCACACCAATAATGGTGTACCAATAATTGTACCCTCTACCCTCCAATAATGCTGACCTCCAATAATTCTGGCCCCTACAATAATTGTAGGACCTGGAAGCTTATAAAGAGGACTACACTAAAACCAAACAGCACACTGGTATACAGTATTCGTTATACTGTATTCGGATTTCCAACACTCCCCCTTGCTGTAGGTTTTAGTGAATCCGATTTCCTTGGAGGATGGGGTGGTCGAGGTGGTATACCACCACTAGGTAGGGGTGCGCCCAAACCAAGCTAGGGTTTGGTGGTGGCCAAGCTGCTCGTCACTGTAGCACCTTTCTCCCCCCAAGCCTTTGGTGCTTTCAAACTCCAACCAAACCTCCTCCCTTGATGTTTTCCAATCCCTCCTTCCACTGGCGACTTTCCAGATCTAGATACAGCGCGTAGTGGCTGCTACTGAGGAAATAGTAGCAGCTCCATGACGAAATCTCCTCATAACCATGGCGAAATGCGTAGATCGTCATGGCGGATTGCCCTTAGCGCACACCGAATTTCCGAAACCGTAGACTTGACTACACGCGATTGTCAGTGCTGCTGTCTTTTTCGCACGCCTCCTGTGCGACGACGCAAAACCGCAGTGGATGCGCGTCTGCGACCACTGCAGTTGCGGATGACGCGAATCGGTA